CTGCTAGTCCCGGCCTGCCATTAGAGCTCCGGCAGCCAGGGACACTGGCAGTATGGCAGCCGTGGTGAGCTGCCTAGGTAGGCAAGGCCAGAGTGCTGGGAGGGGACAGACAAGCTGAAGGATAAAAAGAGTCAAAAAACTTGGAATTGCTGTAGAAGAATATGTGGGAAGTCTCTGCTGTGGACATAAACAAGGGGGGGAAAAAGAGCCACTCACAGAATGAAGGGGGTATTCCGTACCTGCCTCGCCAGGGCTGTGTTTAAGGGTGTTCATAGAATCATAGTGTACCCTAGATTGGAAGGGACCTCAGGCCGTCATCTAGGCCAAGCTCCTGCTCAAAGCAGGGCCAGCTCTGAGATCAGACCAAGTTACTCAGTTTGTCAGATTAGACCAAGTTTATCCAGTCAGGCCATGCCAACCTCCAGGGACATGGACTGCAGTCCTCTCTGGGCCCCTGTTCCCGTGCTTGACTGCCAGCATGGTGAAAAGATTTTCCTTATATCCAGTCTGAACACCTCATGTTTCAACTTAAGCGCCTTCCTCTTGTCCAAAATGCATCACTGTGAAGATCCTGGCGCCATCATTGTGGCAACCTCCATGTAGATATTGCAAAGCTGCTAGGGGTGCCTGCAAAGCCTTCTCTTCTGCAGGCTGAACAAGCCCCAGTCCCTCAGCCTCTTCTCCCAGGGTGAGTGCTCCAGCCCTCTGAGCATCTTGGCTCTCTGCTGAACTTGCTTCAGCCAATGTCTTGTTCTGGGGGCCCCAAAACTGATGCAATATTCTAGATGCAATGTTCCTTAGTTTTCTTTATCCTTCAGGTGCTGGATCTCATCCCTTGGAGAGAAGCCAAATCGGTGACTAGACCTATCCAGGTGATCCCGGATGGAGAAGCGGAGCTTATCAGAGACTCCAAATTCTCATGGACTTAATTTTTTTTAAGCTTTGACAAACACACAAAAGTGGTAATGTGGAGAAGTCCCTCCCCCGCTTCCTCTTCCTCTGTGTCCACATCAGCTTGATTGTCTCCTCTCTCCCTCTTGCCTGAAGCCTTCAGGCCTCCATTTGTGTGCAAAGCCCACATGGGACATGGTGTGGAGCATTTCTGAGCTCTAGTGCCATTTCTATATTAATGACAAAGTGTTATTTATATTTTCTTTTTAGAAGTGACCGTGTCAGCTCTTGCTGAGAGGTAACACGGTATGTTAAATAAGCCAGGCTATGTGTAGATGCTGTTATCTCCTACTTAAAGGAGTCCAGCCTTCGATAAGCTCAGGGCTACACCTGCCTTAGAAACCAGATAGCACCTTGAAATATAGTAGTCCAGAGGGATACAGCTGCTGAATGGATGCTCAGATACCGACTAATCCCAGTAGCAAATCCTAGTAGCCAGCAAGTTATATGAGCGATTTTGAGGGAGGTGAAGCATTGGACTGTCTCCTTTCTCCTCTCCCCTCCTCCCCTTTTCATGCTGCTCTGATGATTTGGCAGGGAAGGGTCTCCTGCCATTATGATTAGTTTTAACAGAGTGGGGGTAGGAAAACTGGTAGCTCAGAATGTTCTCACCCTCACTTCCTGCTAAACCATGGACCTCATTGTATCTTCTGACTGGTGAAGAATGCTGGGGACCCCTCCCTCAAACAGATGCTAGAAGAGAGTGCTTAGAAAGGGTAATACCTTTGTAGGTAGTGAACCTTGCCTTCCACAGGAAGTTTTTCAGGCACCTGTAGCCCCTGTTATGGCTGTGAGGAATGCTGGCATATGCAGGAAAACAGAGCTTGCAGGGTGCTTGCAGCTTGGCTGGCTCAGTTTGGAAGCAGGTCAGAAGGTGTCTTGTTTCCTTATAGACTGCAGGCATGCCTAAGGGAAGCAGTGCTTGTCACCTTTTGTGCATGTGGGAAAGTGAGGGACTTGGTTTAATCATTCTTTTCTTCTTTGCTGTGGTTGATGTAGCTTCCATAGATCGATCTGTTTTAAAGGTTTCTTGGGCCCAGCCAGTTGTGCTTCATTTTTGTCTTGTGTACAGAGTGCTCTCTGTACCCCATTAGCCTGGGCACATACTTTTGTTCTTGTTCTTGTACTAGTGGGGATGTTTGTTATCATGAGATAATATATGTCGTCACTTCTGATAGCAATTGTTTCCTGTGGAAACAGCGGCTTCTGAGTAAGAGGCTACCATAGCATGGTTTAAATTGCCTGTCATGCTGCATGTGCCTGAGGACACAGTGTCATCCTGTCTG